TCGCAAAAGTTATTGCAATTGCCTGATAGTAAGAACAATGGGTCTGACCTTATGTCAAGAGATGGAGAAATTGAATGTAGAAGTAATTCAACATGATAGTTTGACCAACATAATTGTTTAAGCCACTATTCGAGATCAAGTTATTGCTGCTCAGAAGGAAAACAAGGGTGTAGCCCATATCAAGGAAAGAGTCAGGAATGGAAAGGCGGAATGTTTCAGCATAGATAATGAAGATGTGCTATGGTTCAAGGATCGTCTGGTGGTACCAAAGGTTCTCGAGTTGTGGCAGTCAATTCTTGAAGAAGCACATGCTACTAGGTTATCTATCCATTCGGGAAGCAACAAGATGTACCATGACTTAAAACAAAGATTTTAGTGGACCAAAATGAAGATAGAAATTGCAAGATATATAGCAAAGTGTGATACTTGTCAGAAAGTGAAAGCTATACATTTGAGGTCTGCTGGAGAATTACAACCATTGCCTATTCCAGCTTGGAAGTGGGAGGACATAAGTATGGACTTTATTGTTGGTCTACCCATGACATCAAAGGGATTTGTCTCAATATGGGTTATTGTAGATCGACTCACTAAGTCAGCACATTTTCTTCCTATCAAGACTATATACCCCACTGTCCAATATGCCAAGATATATTTAGTAAGAATTATGAGTCTCCATGGAGTACCAAAGACCATAGTGTCAGATAGGGGTACACAGTTTGTCTCCAGTTTTTGGAAACAATTGCATTCTTCATTGGGTACCAAGCTCCTATATAGTACAGCTTATCATCCGCAGACTGATGGACAGACTGAAAGAGTCAATCAAGTGCTTGAAGATATGTTAAGGTGTTGTGTCCTTAATTATTCTAACAAGTGGGACAAATGCTTACCTTTGGCTGAGTTCTCATATAACAATAGTTATCAGAAAAGCATTAGAATGGCTCCATTTGAAGCACTCTATGGTCGTAGATGTAGAACATCGCTGAGTTGGTCCGGGCCCGGAGAAAGAAGGTTCTTTGGTGTTGACCTTGTGAAAGAAACAGAAGACAAGGTTAAGCAAATACAAAGTAATTTGAAGATAGCTCAGTCCCGCCAAAAGAGTTATGTGGATAGACGACAGAGACCATTGGTGTTTAGCAAAGGAGATTTTGTATATCTGAAAGTATCACCAATGAAGGGAGTTACCCGTTTTGGTGTTAAATGCAAGTTGACACCTCGATATATTGGACCATTTCAAATTCTGGAGAGATGGAAAAGTGGCCTATCGCTTGAAATTACCAGAACATTTATCAACTGTACATGATGTGTTCCATGTGTCTCAGTTGAAGAAGTGTCTCCGAGTGCCTGATCAGAATGTTGAAGTTGAAGGAGTGGAACTTGAACCAGATCTGACTTATTCAGAATATCCTATCCGAGTGTTGGATCAAAAAGATCGTGTTACTCGAAGGAGGACAATAAAGTTCTACAAGATACAATGGAATCAACATTCAGAAGAGGAAGCTACTTGGGAATCAGAAGATTACTTGTTAGAAAAGTTTCCAGAGTTTCTTACATCATTATAGAATAGAGTAATTTTAGTTGAACTCGGTTGTTACAAATTGTGTTTTGTAAAGGAACCTCAGCTGTTTTATGGATAAGAATTGGGTGTTTTTGGATTGACACATTTTCTTTTCCATTACTTATCCTATGGCTTTGAATCTTGGGGCAAGATTTCTTTTCGGGGGAAGGATTGTAACACCCCGGGTGTTTAAATATTAAAAACAGGACATGTCATCATGTGCATTGCAAGGCATTGGTCATATTGCAAACTTTGATATGCATTTACTAAAACAAGTTTACATTTAAGTTATAAGTATTGCTTGTATTGTTTGAATCAAGTTTGAAATCTTTGTATTGATTTGAAATTCCGAAAACCCTGATTTTCAATATTTAAAATCCTACCCTGAAAACCCATTTCAAAATCAAAGCACATTTTGGGGTTGAGGTTAAAAGCAAAAGTGTAGATATTTTCAAGTTATACAAAGTTTGTTTTTGGAGTTTTCCAAGTTGTTTAGTAGAATTTGAAGTTATTTGAAAAGGCGAAATTCTTTAAATGTCCCCTTTTCGAATTCAAATTTGCATTTCAAAATGTAGACTGAATTAGGGGGTGGTTATAAAAGAAAAGTTGTAGAACTTTTGATTTTGAACAACTTTTATTTTTGGAGATTTTTGAGTTGTTACAAAAATTTGGGAGTAATTTGAGTTTCAAACTGGATGGCAATTCTGTAATTTTGATGAATAGTGTTCACCGCTCTTGTTACATCGCCGGCGACCTTCGGCTTGCTTCCAGGCGCGCGCATGGCGACCTTGGCTTCGCGCTGGCATAGGGAAGGCGTCGTTGTGGCTTCCTTGAGCTTCTGAGCCGTGTTTTAAGCACTGGACCGCCGCCGTTTGCCCTCGCCTCCTCACTCTGTTTCCACCGCCGCCGGTGTCCTTGCTGCGCTCGCGAAATTCATCCTCACCGTAGCACCTCATGCCATTTGCGTTTGCCAACATCTCCGTCTCATCCTCTAGCTCCTTCCTGGCCTGCTCGCCTCGCCTCTAGCAGTTCAGTGCCACCGCACGTCGCTTTCTTCCTCAGAGCCGGCCGAAGCACCGCCACAATCGACCTCACCGTGGCCAGGTCACTCCAGTCCATCTCCGCTTTCACCAAGCATACCGTCATGTTCGTGGTGAGCTCCTGAGCGTGATGCTCTCTTCACTTTAGTCTCTACCGCATCATAGCTGGCGTTGTGTCGTTTGCCACCGTGTTTGCGCCACCGTGGCCGCCATGGCCGGCGTGGAGCTTCCTCCGGTGTGCCTGCTACTGTTCTGGGGGTCGGGGTAGATTCACGGGGTGGTGTTGGTCGTGCTGGTACCGTTTGCCTCGCCGGAGTCTCGCCGTCGGCTTGTTTTGGTTGTCGGAGTTAGTAGCGCCTCCGTGCGCTCTGTTTTGGGTCGCTGACATGCGGGGCCGGGTCGTCAGTGAGAGAGAGGGAGAGAGAACAGGGAGATTTCCTATTTTCTGGATTTTGAATAGTGCAGCAACTTTGGAAATTTATAGGAAAATAATTACAGCTCCAAAAATTCTGAAAATTTGTGTGTAGCTTATGTACATGTTCTATTATGGTTTAAAAATATGAAATTTGAATAAATTTTTAATGTTAAAAAATTCAGTCAATTAATTGATAAATGTAATTTCCATCATTTTTGTAGGGCACTATATAATTCCAAAAATTATGAAATTTATTTTGGTACACTAATTTGTCATGTGGAGGCTTGCATAAAATTTTGAGGTCATTTGGAACAAGTTCATTTTTAGCTTATTTTCCAAATTAATTAAAAATTGAATTAAAGCAAACCCTAAGTGTTAGGTTAGGGTTTGATCTTGTTTTGGTCATGTTTTATGATCAGTAGGGTTTCATGATCAGTTTGATCAAGTCACCTAGGTTCATAAGGGTCAGTTGGTTTTGTTGGCTTGCAACTGTACTGCGAAGGAAAGTTGTATTCAAGTTGTTAATTTTGCATTCATCATCGAGCATCATGTTTCGTATTCCGCATCATGTTAAACATGGCATTGTTACTACATGGCATTGTTCCACATCATGTTAAACATGGCATTGTTACTACGTCAAGTGAAAACCGAATTGGTACATTACCAACCTTGTTATTCTATATTTACCATATTACCAGTTTTAAATTCGTATATGCCTAGTTTTGCTTAGCTATGCTTAGAACGATGAAAGTCGGGTGATTACCTGTCACCTGCAAGTTTTAAATGAAACTTTAGTTACTTATGTTATCATGTGATATGGGAATGTGGAGTAATAAATCTAGATCCGGGCGGACTCGGTGTGTGTGAGCCATAAGACATGGAGGTCTTGTGAGCGGGTTCTTTCCGCCTGTGTCGATTAAGGTCCGTACCGTTGTTGAATTGCATGAGGTGAGACTTTGTAGTACTAACCACATACTCCGGTAAGCCTTAACTTGGCTATTCTATTACGAGAATGGCTACTCGCGCACTGGGAGTGGAGAGATGGCGGGAATAGCGTGTACCCACGTGTCAATGTGCTGGATTGGTGGAGTACTGTATTCTCAGGTGGCGCGGACCCGTTCTTGTTTAGAGGATCCAAGGGTAGGTTGGTATATGTAGGTCGGGGACCTGCATATGTCATGTGGTCTGGAATCCCCAGCTGGGTTTAATCGGTTTGAATCGTCGTTGCTCCTCGGTTATGGAGACTCAACTCACTGTTCATCATCGTAGTAATTAATAACTGGAACTTGAGGATGGTTTGAGAAGGTGTTGGTTATGAAGTTTCATGATCTCAATGCGGATCGTGTCAGCTTTGTATATGATCTTAAGAAGTTTTAAACGTTGATATAAGAATTATGTTAAAAAGCTTTTATGCAAAAAACCTTGTTTATTGCTAAAGCCATACCTTGAAGTCATGAGCCTGCATCCCTGTGTTTTATTAATTCTTATTTCGTTTAAGTCTTGTTGAGTACTTTTGTACTTAGGGTTCATTGACCCATGTTGCAGGTGAGGCTCATGAGCAGATCTATTTTGGATCGTGCTGCATGACGGTTGTTCCTTGTGATGGCGAGAAGTAGATGTGTGGCTCTTGGGCAGAGCAGCTTATTTGTGTGTTCTGTAATATGTTATAATGCCACTCCACTACTTTGGTTTGTAATAATTATCAAACTTAGTTGTCTGGTTTGAAACAAATGGTTTGTAAACTATGTTATTGTAAATCTTCCGCTAATTTTACTTTGATGTAGATATTTGAATAAATATTATAATACTACAATGACTCTGTAATGTGATCCTGCTTGGAAATCGTGGATGATTCGGGGTTCCCCGAGGACACCCGACAGTCTTCTTAAGTTACCGGGAACATATGCATAGATGTCAAAGGTCGTTGGACAGTGACATGTGCATGTGGGCCCTATAATTTAGGAGGTTCTGCCACATTATCCTCATGTTCTTATAGCAAACTCTTGGTTCTTGCATATTCTTCATCTAGCAAACTCTCTCGTAGATCACGCAGAGATGGAGGTTCAAGTCCAGAACCAAACTGTCCAATTGCTTCACACATTTGCTTGAACTCATCATTGTCACAAGCATTGAATGATGTGGCTACGTATGATATGTAAAAGTGTAATTAACTAATTAGTGTGTAGTTTAGGCATGTATTCAAATCTAAAATGTAAAATAGAAATGCATAATAGTAAATTACCATGTGTATAGACCCATCTTGCAATATATTTATGCACCTCATGTCTTCTTTCTTTCCAAAGTTCCTTGTTCGGCTTCTGTTGCTTCAAAGATTTAGATTTTGTTGCTTTAGGATCAATAGCACGTGTCCACGTATCAATGGGTCCTAATTTGTGAGGCTCTAAACTTCCAACATAAGTCACTTCATCATTCTCTGTTCTAACCCGAGAAACATTCATTTCTTCTCTAAGCTCTAGTTCACGAGCAGCCTGCTCCTTCCTCTTCCTTTTTGAATCTTCTAGTGATTTCTTGCACTTGTCTTGAGCCTCCTCTGTGCTGTTCCTGCATTTCTTCACATTTGTTCCAACATTGGCCACATGTTCCTTCAACCGATGGACCCCTCCTTGGCTCCGATGACCACAGAACTTGCACTCCACCTTGTCCTTGTTGTTTGCATCCACCAGAAACCCATACTCCCATCCCACATCATCTGAATTCCTTTTCAGGACATTCACCTCATCCCGAGATGTAACACCAGTTTTAGGAGCACATTCTTCCACCGACATTCTACATGAAGAGCAGTAGAGGCATATTAAACACACAGCCACACAACAGTACAGCATAGGCATATAGAGCAGGAAGATAGAAGGGAGCAGCCAGGCAGACGAGAGAGGAGCAGGGGGCGGGCGAACCTCACGTTGGGGTTTGTGGAAGGTAGCGACGAGTACCTCTAGACTCGGTGACTCTCTCCCCTGCTGGGCTCGAGGAGAAGATTTGGACTCACCTCCACCCTTCCTTGCAACGAGCCTGAGCGGGACTCGCCAGAGCTATGGGCGGCAGGAGAGATGAACAAGGCTAGCGGCGGAAAGCAGTGAGGATCTCCTATTCTTCTCTCTCTTTGACTATGTCTCTCTCTAATCCTCTCTATAGGCACCAGTGCGCGGGGCTCTTTTCCTTCCCGTGTAGCCACTTTCTTTCCCGCGTAGCCGCCCGCTCGCACGCGCACACTCCCGCCCACCAAAACAAAGTCCCCCACGCGTGCTCACGCCTAGGTGCCGCCTCCTCCTCCTACTCACTGTGCAGGCACCACAGAGGCACCACGGAACACTGTGGAGGTGCGCCCACTGCCTAGATGTCTGCCTTACCCCCTAGAACCCCACGGGAGGCCTTCGCCCAGCGCCTAGTCATGCCTAGGCAACCGTGGAATCTCGCCTTGTTTTTCATTGCTTGATAGTATGGTCATCTATCCTAAACCTGGTCATAAACTTCACTACACACCTATGACCGATAAAATGAAATGCCCTAGGTTATACCTTTGCCTTGCGCATTCCATTCCATCTCCTTTGATGTTGATGCAACACATGCACCAGCCTTGATCAACAAATTATATGATCCACTTCATATCATCACATAACTATATCGGTTCATCGATCTTGACCTCACTTGCTTTTCACCGTTGCCTCGGTCCATCGGCGCCAAGTCCTCGACTTGTCCTTCACTCTTGCAGCCGGTCCGTCAAGCCAAGCCTTGTCTTGAACTTCTCCACCTTAGTCATATGACTCCATGTCATGTCTCATATGCAATGAGCTCCTTCATCACATATGTGAGCCTTGCAACAAATCCAAGCCATCTTCACTGTCATGGCATGAGTTGCTCACACAAGTATACATGTGGACTAATCACCTATGTATTTCACATTAAACACAATTAGTCCACCTAGGTTGTCACTCAATTACCAAAACCAAACAAGGACCTTTTAAACCTGTAGCTATAGAAGGCCAACGGGTCAGCCTGGTCTAGCATGGCACGAGCCTGTGCCAGGCACGACCCAAAGGGGGTTGGGCTGACATGGCACGTCGTGCCCATTGGGTCATGCCTCTTAGGACCACGGGCCTGGCCTTCGGCCCAAGCACGGCTTGTTGGGCCATTTTTTGGGCCAGGCTGGCCAGAAAGGCCTGAGCTTCCTAGCTGGCCATGCCAGCCTAGCAGACCGATGAGAGGGGAAGGGAGGCATCAATGTCATCTCTAGGGCAGGCATAGGCAGCGGCGTGGCACGCCTGCGACGCATGGTGCCATGGCTCCGGTGGATCTAGCTGTAGGGCAGAGCTAGTGGCGTAGCACGGCAGAGAAGGCATCGAGCATCCCGAGCATGGACATGGGTATAGCTACTGTAGGCCAGCAACCTCCATGGAGGCGGGTAGAGGAAATCTAGGCCTACGCGGCTTGGAGAGCTGAAAAGTGAAGAAGAAACGGCCAGCCGTGTGGAGAGAAGAAGGGCGCAACGTGGGGAGCGGGGAGGGAAGAAGTAGCCATGGGGAGAGAAGAAGGTAGCAGATGTGGTAGGCGGCGGTGCTCAACCAGTGAATCTATGAATGGGGAGGGGAAAGATAGCAACGCTCGAATTAGACAGTGGTCGAGTAAGTCTATGGACAAGGATAGGATTGGGCCAATGGTGGGTGATGGCCTGGTAAGTTGCGGGCTTTCATGGGGCCTATGACAATTTAGCGAGCTAGGCTGCCACCCAATGTGCCTAAGCAGCAGCCTAGGCATGGCACGCTGCATCAGGCTAGGCTGGCACGGGCCCATTGCTCACCAGGCCAGGACGTGCTCGGACTGGGCCAAAATAATGAGCTTTGTGCTGGGCTATTAGGCTGTAGGTTGCTTGGCCATCCATACCTGTAGCTGCTCAAAAAAGCATTTCCAATTTTCAGCAGATTTAGACTCAAAAACACCAGAAGCTACTGGAAAATGCCAGTTGTGTCCATCTATAGCTGATGCTGAAGCTAACTGTCCTCTCCACCTTCTAGTTAGATGTGTTGAGTCAACATCAAGGAAAGGTCTGCACCCATTCAAGAACCCATCAACACAACTCTTGAAAGCCACAAACATCCTTGTGAACCTCATCTGAAAGCTTCCTGGATTCATTCTCTCCCCTCAGCCTTGAATCTAAAAGCATCTTCAAAACTATCATCCCATTTGCCCTATAGGTCTTTTATAGCCATCTATCTTCCATCCCACACAACATAGTAGGACAGTTGGATGTTGTACTTCTTCTCTAAATCTTTCTTAAGTTTTGCTGCTCCTTTTGTTGGTTCATCCCTTAGGATGTCAATAACCCTGTCCCTCACCCATGCATTGGTAGCCATGTAGTTCTGGTTGAGTTTGGATGTGCTGGCATGAGTTTGCTTCTCATACATCCTCTTTATCTGCATAAAAAGACATACACAACATCATTCATATATCACAAAAAATACAACATCATACATGTGAGTTAAGAACTGCAAGTTATAGACCTACCAAGTCCTACCATCCTGTAGTTGAGAAGCAGGGATTCTCCACTTGCACTTCTTCTTGCTCTTGGATCCCTTGCAGTACCCTCCGTACCTTGTGGACTCACTATAAGGAGCTACAATTTCAAACTCATTAAGCACTGCAAATTGCCTAATAGCCCTCTTAAAGGTGTCCCCATCCTCAAATGTGACACCAAGGGCTATAGTGGGGTTCTCTGAGTTAGTTACATGCTCAGAAACCTCACACCAAATTCATCATCCACAAACAAATCATCATGTTCAATAGAGTCAGAGTTAGCAGGTTCTGCATCTTGGCCACCATGCTCTTGGTCAGACATGTACCGGCTCTCATCATTTTATGCCAACATATTTGTGGGGGTATAACCCCCGATACTAGCAGGGTTGTACATGGGCCAAGCCGCTAGGGGAGGTCCAACCCACAAGACTGCGCATGGGCCATGCCACTGGTGGAGGTCTAGCCTACAAGACTACACCGTGCAAGGCACGACATAGGTTGGCGTGCCTCGCAAGACTGCATGAAGATCTTCGGTGATCTAGGAAACCTACTCGGATATTCCAGATCCCATAATATCTATAACTTCCTATCTTGTAAAACTAATCAGGATAGAAACAACCGATCTGTAACTCTACCCCCCTAGCTATATAAGGCGGGTAGGGACCCCCTTTGTTTTCATCTTATCTCTCATAATACAATCCACAAAGACACATGACGTAGGGTATTACGTCAAGCTAATGGCCTGAACCTATCTAATCGTTGTCTCTTATGTTCTATGTCACCATCCGGATCCCTCACGCGCACCTCCATCGATTCATCTACTGCTGTGGGCATACCCCTCGGTAGACTGTCGGATGTATTTCGTCAACAGTGATGCGCCAGGTAGGGGGCGTGCGTGTAGAATTCATGGCATACCAGATGGTCACCTTCCTGAGCTCCATGGCCTCTTCTGAGCCAGGCTAGATCTTCACGGTCGGTTCCATGACCTGGGTCATCGGCCCCAACGGCAACGGGGAGATCGTGGAGGTGGTGTAGGATCACCCTGCACCGATCGCGCCAACACCTGCAATGACATCTCCGATCCTAGCGCCCCATCGTTGTGTTAAGAGATCCATCAGCAATGATGATCTGATCGCATCCATCGATCGGGTCACAGACCGCTTAGCAGAATGTCAGCTCCTCATGGATTCGGTCTTAGATCAATCTAGAGTGAGCAATGAATTTCCTGTACTCCAAGATAACCAAGCCGCTGCAACCGAGCGACCTGGTTGGCCACATAATTCAAGGTGGCTAGATTCTAATCTAGTGATCATAGCTACTCCAGAAGGGCGCACGGTGCGGCGCCAACCACTTCCTGCAACCGGCCTACGTGTGGCCAACTACGAAGCCCCGATGGAGGACCCACCAAAGCAGCCCTATCCCTTTGGGCTAGAGGGTGCGGGATCTATGTATCGGAATGCCATTCACCACCTCTTTGTCGACCACGTCGAGCGTGACCATGTCACCAACCTCTACATGATTGAACCGACTGACTCCGATAAGCCTTCGCCCGTGGTCAACATGGTGGCTGTTCGCCAGCTTTTGGATGAACTCTCTCTTCCAAGCGAATCTCTCCATAATGTTCTGAATGAGAGTCCTGACGATTATTCTGAGGCCTCAACCAAGACAGTATCAAGCTGCCTGGCTTTCCCTCTGAGGTTCGGGTTCATGATTTTCCACGTTAGCCACGATAGCCTCACCAAGGACGGCGAAACCGCTAAAGAGTGCAAAGCCCGTCTAGCAAAAAACGTCGATCGCCAATGTTGCCGAGATGCTAAAGCAGCCTAAGGGGCTAGAGAGGATGGTCGCGGCCCACCCCGCGATCAACATAATCTAGAGGAGGCATTTGACATGGTAGATGACCAGCTAGTCTACCAAACTCCAAGCGCTAATCTAGCCATCGCTTTCAACGAGTTTGACAAACTCCCTCACACTCTGGAGGTCGAGAAGGTCTGATCACATATCATAGCAGCGCAAGTCCAAGTCAATGAGTTCTAGAACGATGCCCAATCTTATTCCACCGCATCAACTCATAGCCGCCTATCCGATACCATAGAAAGGGGTACCCTAAGCAAGAACCGACAAAATGCTTAGACCTTGTAAATACCAAAGCCAAGAGACAACCACGCGGGCCTCGGCCGATTCTCCGATTCGCCCGAGGCTCACGCCGCAAGGCCTTGGCAGATTCTCCGGATCGCTCGAGGCCCACGCCTCAAGGCCT